TTCGAGCAACGTGTACAAGAAGTTGTTGATTCGTATTCGGATGGGTGTTAAATTGCAGGGTATTTATTAACGAAAAACGAGGACGGTAAGCGGTACTTGATAAATTCAGTCTTAGGATTGTTAAAGGTAGCAACAATGGCGGAGTGAAAGGTATCACACAATAGTGCAGAAGATCCAGAGCCACGTCTACAGCTGTCATCGTTAGCGAACAAAAGATCCACAGTATTACCATAACAATTAACTGTACTATTACTTTGTAGCACATGACTGCGTTGAAGTGGCCTGATAAGAATTCCATTGCAAGAAGCTCATCAAACGATGCACCTGGTTATGATGAAACTAATAACCATGTTATTAATGTTCGTTCTAGGTCGAGGGAGATTGAAATTGCCATATGCACGGGGTGTCCTGTTATTATAATTTGCTAGGGCAGAGACTACTCATTCACGGAACCTTCGGGGAGCCAAAAAATTCACGATAATGGCTTTAAGTTTCCATTTTTCTAAAAATACATTCGAATTTCAAATACTCGAACTCACGAATTCAATATGAATACAAAAATAATTTAAATATCGTCTACTATACAATGCTTTTCGTTTTAATAGGTTCTCTGCCTACCCTTTTATGGTATTAATGGTCGAAAGGGTCAGATATATAGGTTATTATCGATTATATCGAAAATTGGTACGGAACAAAAAAGTTTCAGAACAGGACCAGAATGGTGGTTTAATTAAAATCGGTCCAGTAGATTTTCTGCTGCCCGGAACGAACAAACAAATAAGCAAAAACTCTAAAAATAATTCGGTTTAGATACGCTATAAATTATACACGGGAATTGAAATCGAATAATGGACGAGCCTCTTAATATTAGAAATCTCGATATTGATTTTCTCTATCTATCGAACGTCGCGATAATGGAGGACGTTTCCTTTCGAAATGCCAAATCGTGGCGAACAAATTGTCCAAATGGAACGGCGTACGCAACGCTTCCAATATTATCAAGTTCGAAGCAATAATCACGCCTAATCTGACGCGCGGCGAGGCTACGGCTTATCTCGCGCGACAGCTGTTCTATGCCGCGATACGTTTCTAATTGGACTTAATTGGACCCATTGTTGAATTTCATTTGACGCGAACGCGCCCTACGAGACGGCAGACGTAACTCGAAATTGAATTGCACCAGCGCGAACGCGAACGGGTGGGATTTAAAAACTGGTCGCGACTTTGCACACCGGTTTCCTATTAATTCCGCGATTACTCGTACGCCCGACATTTTATTTCGCTACGCGTTGCCCGGCTGTACAAAACGAAACGTGCTCCTAGCAAAAACTGACTCTCGAACCTCACCGAAATACGTACAGCGGGGAGAAATTTGTAATTTATCAAGCAATAAATATCGACTCGTGCAACTCGGTTGGCATTAAGATCGCTTGTTATTGCTACGCCCTGCGGATATTTATTGCCTCGCGGAGTAATCGAACGACAAACAAGAGTCCTTAATACTTGGCTACCTTGCGGGGATTTTTCTTTTTTGGAAGAACTTTGACAACACTTTAATTCGAAATAACTTGCATTTAAAAGACATTCGAATCGAGTTGGTTTGCGGTAGTTTCTGATTATCTAAAATCATAATTTTGGAGTCGTAGTAATTATTTAATTTTATTTCTTCGATCATCCAGTAACGAGAAACGCGGATGGGGCTTTTCTAGGACAAAATCTCTGGTTTCTGGGGTCCAGCAGGTACCCCGAGCTCTATTCACGCTTCCAAAATATTTGGGTCGACCGTTTGACAGGTTACAGGGACTGGTTATGGGTTTCAGGGTGGCCAAGGACAAAAATTTATTATTTTACGACGTTGGTCTCCCCCACCCCATTCCTCTCCGTTGACCCGAGGACCATTTTCGCGCCTTTTTTCGTCCGGCAGGGGCTACATTTTTACGATCTCATTCAGGTGTCAAACTTTCCAATTAACGAACACGACACGGGGAACAATGAGTCGGCGAATTCGACTTTTGCACGTTCACGCAGGCCCGTTCTGGCTACGATGGAAGGAAATGGATACCAAAGTTATTTTTTCATCGTTGGTTCCTGGACGTATCAAGAGTGTATACACGCGAGCGTACGCTCGACTCGTTTCAAGTATCTGGCGAACTCGTTTCAGGGAAAGTGAAAATATTCTTAGAAGTCGGGACGAAAAAATTTCCTACGTTCCCTGAATATTTACTACTTGCGTAAACATTTTTTACCTACCGGTCCTTGCGGAGAGTCTTACGAACAAACACAAGTCCTCTCTGGAGAACGTTTTCGAACAAGGAATGAAAGTTATTATCAAATATCTCGTTGGAAATAATTTCTTCCCACGTTTGCTCTATTCGCGATCGTAATTATTGTCAGAGACATCGTTATAACTTTAATCTACAGAAGCATGCTACGAGCTAACAATTATTTCGTTCGAATGGTACGAACGTAGTTTACAGTGCAAACAAAAACATAGTGTCCTTCGAGTTTCAAAACAAACGAGATAATTCGACGCCATTCGTTCCTACAGTCTTGCAACCTTGGGAATCGATATCTTTTGGACGCAGTTTAGGAGTATTATTAATTGCCTGTAAAATTGCTATACATTGCAAAGTGCAAACTGGCCTTTGGGACCAAATGAATTTGACATGATTTAAATATCTCTTGCACTTTCTGCTAGTCTACATCTACTCTTATCTTCTTATATTACATAACACATAGATTTCAAAAGAGATTTGAGATATGTTTAAATAGTTTATAAATTACGTACTAATTATTTACAAAATTCGTTCACGTCTGAACCATTTTTAAGAAATCACAGACTCCAGTCTTCTCACATAAATCCATCTTATTTTATATCACAAACCTGGTTCTTATGGATGATGTAAATGAATCGTTGATGAAACGAAGGGAAACTGCAGTGGGTCAGCTCTGGTATTCCACTATTCTATCAATCGTGTCGCGGAAATTCGAACCGCAGCCTCGATTCAGGCATCGTTCACCAAGATGCCCGTGTCCCGGACAACCGGATCGCTCTAAATTCACGTGCATACTCAGCCACGACGAAACAACGCGTCTCAAAGCTCGGCAAACCAAAATAACCCCCCCGGAGTCGAGATATTACCGCCGCGGGAATACTTTATCGCGCCGCGTTCGCGCCAAGGTAAATTATGCTATCGATAGTGTCGCGACGACGTGTGCTCGTCAAAAATAGTCCGGCACGACGACCGTTCTGGCGAAAAAAACGCCACCAGATATCCTCTGTAATAACCCGGGGGATATCTGCGATCCAATTAATCGATATCGAAGACGTGTAGTATTGTTAGAATATAATCGCCAATCGCGTAATCCCCCCACCGCGCTTCTATCGTTCGATGCACCTCGCCTCAACCATTTAAAAATTTGATTCGTGGATTAATTTACGCTTCTTTCTTCGTTGTTTCCGTTTTGGAGAAAATTATATTAATTCAAATGTCTCTGTAGATCTTTTTTTTCTTGGCACCTCGGTATAGAAACAGAGACTAACACTTAATCTTCTTTAAAATTTTAAATGCCAAGGTCATTTGTCCTGAGTAGGTCTCCCGGTGAATCTTTTATTCAGACCAAAGATGTATAGAGCCAAGGTAGCTCATAGTGATTAACAGTGCAATCTAGCAAATAGCCTCAGAGTGGAAAGGGTACTCCAATTCACAGATAAATAAATAAATACATAATATAAACGAGATCTGGCAAGCGTTGGACGTCGTTCGAAAGGCGAACGACGCCTAGAACGTTCCTGTTCTCCCGGTCGCGAGATCGAGAACCAACGGTCCAAGAATGTGGAAAATAAACGCGTTAAACAAAGTAGAATCTCGATAAAAGGAACGATCTACGCTCCTTCCACTTTGTTGGTGCGCTTCGAGCTTCTCTCCAGAGATTAACGGTGGAAACCCGATGGAGGCAATTTCGAGGCTCCGCTGACGAACTTTGGTCCACGTCTCGCGGAACGAGACCGTCTCCTTGATTTCGGGGATCTTCCCTGGCGGAGGCGCGGTGGGGTTCGTCGTTAGCAAAAAACCGCCCGGGCGATATCGAATCGGGGTCTCCGTGTGCGGCGGTCGGTCCAGAAATCGTAAGCTCGCGGCTCGATAAGGACCCAATTACATTTTAACCGATGGTATCTTTCCGCCACCAGCCGCGATAGCGCCGGCAAACTAATTGGCCGCGCCAGAAAGGAGATACAGCGGCGATAGCCGCGCGAATTACAGAAAAGAAGACGGTAGAAAGGTCGAAACGGGAGCGAGAAAGAGGACGAGAAACGGGAGGGGGCGGGTATATACGGGCAAAGGGATATAAGCTCGCCCTCTCGTCTCGTTGTCCTATCTCCGGGCGCGCATAATCGCCGTCGAAAGAAAGCCTCGCGAACGCAATTTCAAAGTTCGAGGCTCGTTTGGCGGGCTGCCAGCGCTCACGTAACTAACTACTTGTTTTGCCAACCGTACATCCTCCCCCGCGAGCACGGAGTTTCGTTCCGCCAGCCGGCTGATCCTCGATTTTCGAAAAAGGTTAACACCTCGGCTACCGCGGATCACCATTCGACCACGTGGCGACGGACGCGCCTGCGTGCCCCCAGCCTCGAGACCTTACACGGAAATTTCTTCTCTCAGTCTTCCCGTGCCCACCAGTTGGCACGAATATACCCCGACATTGGCAAAACGGTTCGACTCCTGGCCGCTTTCGACCCCGGTTGAATCGCGAGCCGCACACGCTCGGCCCACGATCGAGCGTGGACCCAGCGAGAGACACTTGTCAACGGACACCTGAACGATCGATGGTTCCCGCGATACCGTTCGCAGCCTCTCAAAATTCCTCGAGCGCGAGGCTTTCGAAGCGTTATCTGCCCGATATCGACATATTTTTCCCTTCCCCGCGGTTAACGGAAACACGATAGAGACAGCGACGGTGTTACGCGTCGACGGATTGTCCGTGGCAGGGACACTTACCTCGATCCACGGCATGCGTAGGCTGTGTTTTCGGGCCGATAGTAATATTCCCTCAAGCTGTGGACGCTGCCCGCGGGCACGACAACAACAAAACAAACACTCGACGCACAATATCGACACCACGGCAACGACACGAGTTTCCCGATCGTTCCTAGGAGCCTCGTTGGGACGGATCGAGAGTGGTCCAGCTCAGCCCGAGAGACAGGTGTCAACGCACCCGGCACCCAGAGAAACCCCCTCGCGGCACGCGTCCCTCGCTCGGGGTGTCCTGTCACTCTCGACGACGCCTTGGCCCCGGAGCACCGAAGGCCTTCGCTTTCGTTCGAAAGCCCGCGTCTTCCTCGTCGAATTATTGATCTTAAGCTCCGCTTCGTATCGCGAATCCCGCACCTAACGACTCTTGTAACGCTCCGAACGGAGGAGGTGCCTCCCGACCCTGGCGCTGGATCCCCGGTTAACTGAACTCGGTCTTCGACGTCGTACGGAGGCAGCCCCGGCGACCAGCGGGCAACAGTTCCATTCCACTCCGTTCGTTCCTTCTCTCCGGGGTTGTAACACACTACACGCCGCGACGAGCGACGTGTCACTCGGTCCGGTGGTATGGTTGGTCACACTGTCGCGCGGAACACCGTCGATCGTGTGCGGAAGGTCGCGAACCGCTGTCAAAAGAGCTGCGAGAGGATCGGGTCGAACGTGAGCACACCGCGCGACACGCAGAACCCGTACGAGCCACGACACGAACCGCACGGCACGACGGCAGACGAGCGAGTGGGGCTTCGGAGCCTTCCCCCACCACTGGTCGCGTCGAGCAACGCGACAGAGAGAGAGCGGCGAGCGTTCGAGGCGCGTCGCCCAGAGTTTCGGAGCCGGGGGGAAGAGGGACGACGCGGACCATCGAGAGAGGGGATGGCCGCGCGGCGGAGTAGGGGAAGGGAGCGTAGAAGCGCGGGAGGGATGGCGCACGATCGTCGGAAAGGGTGACCACGGTGGGGGAAGGATAGATGGACGTCAGGGGCGTGAGCGAAGGAGGGGCATCGATATCTCCCCTCTCTCGCTCTAGCTCCGCGTACAGAGAGCGCACTCCGCACTCTCCACGCGACTTTGCGAGTGAAACATTTCGCGGGTTTCGCGGACGCTGGGCGTGGGATGGGGTTCCGGCTGCCGGAGGGGGAATGGAAGGGAAACGTAGTGAGGGAAGACAACAGTATTCCCGTTAATTGAACGACTCTCGTAGAGAACGAGGGGGGGTGGCGGCAAGACGAGGTGGCCAGGGACGGAGGGGGAGGATTACTCGCGGTAATTACTTATTTTTATTACGCTCCGCCTCTCTGCCTTCCCCCACCCATCGTTCCCTGTCCGTGTTCCACGACGACGAGAACGACGATGACGACGAGGACAGCTGGGCTGGTCGTTGCTTGTCGTTGGTCAGCGTTATTAAACCGCCTTTTTTTGCCTATCCAATCTGTAATACGTTTACGCCGGTACCCCCCGGTCCTCTCGTTACGATTATTTGCGGCCGCTGGCCCCCGGCTCTCGCCGCGACGAAAACGCCGGTCAGGGTGTCCTTTCCGGTTCCGCGAAATCGGATCGCGTCCTTCACGGTTACGAATTCTTAAATGTACGAGAGAACGGTCGCCGCGGTAACCGCGAAAGTGAAAGAACACTTTCAGCTAATTGAACGACCACGGTCCTCGGGAATCCAGAATGGTGGCCGATTACTCCGAGTAATTACTTATTTTTATTACTTTCAGCCTCTTTGCCCCTCCCATCGGTCGCGCGACGTCACTTATCGCTGGCCAACCACGAGCCCCCGTCCTCCACGGACCACCATATTTCGTTGCAGATGTCTTCGATACGTATCTCGCCTTTTACCGTCACTTCAAAACACGGGTTTAAACGTGCCTCCCACTAATTATCGTCGCCGATGAAACGCCACCCCCTCCCCGTTACTCCTCCGTAAACAATCACCCGTGCTCGTGTCGTTCGTTCAAGTCTTTCCCGTTCACCCTTGTTGATCTTGCTCGATGAAACACAAACGCCTGCCAGGTGAATGGACAATTCGTTTCGCTGTAAGTTACCGGTAAATTTCGATCTACGATACACGGATTACAGCCTCGTCCAAGGATCAGCGGAAATTTCTATCGGTTTACAAAATGATTGTAAAATCGACCGAGGGAGCGATTCCGAATCAACGAATTCGCGACTCATTTATTATCTTTCGGGGTTACACACACTCTGACGCTGCAGTATTCAATGAACCTCGACGAAGACACTATTGGACACATATGCAGCCATGTTCGAGCGACAGGCGTTCAATCGGACCCTTCGGGCAAACCTTCCCGGTCATCCGAGGTACTGTCCAAATATTATTACTCGATCCCATGCTCAATCAAACGCGATATTCGACTCGTTCGACGATTCAATATTCTGGGTGCTGGCCACCAAAGCCTTTAACGCGAGAACCCGGTAACAAACGTTCCGACTAATTAACGCGAGGACAATGTGCCTCCTAGATCGCGAAACTCAACAATTTAAATTTTTTTCACTGATAAAGATGTTGCTCTCAGTTACAAAGATTTTGGAGTACTACTATAGTATACGCGGAAGCTAAGATGACGCAAGATTCGTAGGACGCGAATGACTCTGTGTTTGGATGTATGGGTGACCTAGAAACTAGTTTACAGTTCTGGTGCAGATGAGAAACTACGTGTTGGCAAGAGTGGCTACACTCACACAGGAATGTGGAAATCAGTCTCTAAATCAGTCAGTCCTCCAGGTCTTGCAACCTTGAAAGCCTTTGACACAAGAGACACCGAAACTACAATCTCAAAGTGCAACTTTAATGACGTACAACACCCCCAAAGACACCACTCGGTTTCACCCAAGCTGGGAAGCTAAATTTTCTGTGGAAAATAAAATTTAAAATCGCTATCTTCTTGCATTTTACCTCCCTCCCAAAAAATCGTAAGCAACCTGTTCGTTTCATCGACGTCTCGATGGTTCGAGCTCATCCTCGTCATCGTCGCGCGGTCATCGAGGGGAACAGCATTCTTCCATTCGCGATGAACGCGCGTTTCGCGGAACGACGGCCTCAGTCGGCTTCCATCTAATCCAATTGCCGAGCTAATTCGTTTTTGCCGTCGCGCAGCTTACTTTAGCGGTACGTACCGCTGAAAACTTGGACGCAACACGCTCCTCGACTTCCGATTGCCGGCGCCCCGGGCGGAAACACGTCCGCGAATTCGATGACGCGCGTCTAGAATGGAAATTAGGACCCGTTTCTCGCGTATGTCGGAACTTCTGGAGCAGCCCGGTAGCTAGAAAGCATCTATTTATATTCATCCACCGAGTGGTTCGGCTTTAGCGAGTGCACTTGTTGCGGTGAAAATTAAACCGGGCTACAACGACCTCGAAAATCGTTCGTCGTTAGCAGCGAAGACGGGGAATTCATGGATCCAACCATTAGCAGGTCAGCTCCTCCGGTAATTGAACGTTTGGTCGAATTTCTTCTTAACATTTAGGAAATTCATTCGCGAAAATCAAGACACGTTGGCTTCTACTATTTTTCTGTTGCACTTTTGTGTACAACATAGGCTGCTTTCTGTCTTTATCACTGATATGGAATCAAATTGTTCTCGTATTCATAAGTTTTAACAACTCCTTGTGAATCGAAAATATTGTATTGTGTGTCGAATTTTTGAATCATCGCTAAATTCCGGTTTACAGGGGGATGAAATTATTTGAACGGGCAGCTCGTTAATTATTTTGAACGCCTGTAATAGCAACGACGGATTCGAGATCGGGGCATTGTTGAAAAAGCAACAGCGCCGCGTCCCGATGCTTTAATCATTTCAGACACGAACGAAATAATTCATTCGCGTTACTATTTACCGCGTTAATTATTAAAAGTGCATTATCACAATCTCGTCGCGCGCCCCGTACCCTCCACGCCGCGAATCCCCGTAATGCGTACTACCCCGGAATAAGTAGAGCGCGATCGCAATTAATGAAGTAATTAATAATGAAATAATTAAACGAATTAAACGCGGCCCCCTTGGATAAACGAGTCGGGACGCACTTCTGCGCGGCGCGGCCGTTGCGTCTGTTGTGCGCTGCGTTCTCCTTTGTTTACCCGCAAACAAAACGAGCAAATGAAAAGTGGCCGCAAGCCAGGAGAATTGTAATTGGTCGTTGACCTGCGACGAGTTACGCGTTTCGATCCGTACGATCTTAAAACGCGATTCGACTCGCTGTTTGGCGCGGATCGATCGATCGCGGGTGAAAAAATCAGTGGAGACCAACGTGGCTTTAACACAACTTCGATCGACGATAATTACTATTTATATAAGACAACAATTGTGTAGGTATAATAAAATATTTTTTTTAAATCAGAAAATGAGATTTTATTTCATTCCTTCTTTTTTAGAGTAGGTAGGAATTATTTGTCCTTGTTGTCTTTCCGGCGATCGACAAGAGTAGATTGAATGTGAGAAATTCAGCATCCGACTATGGGTACACAGAGTCACAAATTCGATCGTAAGGCAAGAGGTTAACGGCGCAGTCGGAACGAATTCAATTGGCCGCTCAAGGCCACTTACCCCCACTCATGAATCACGTCGGACGAGACGCCTACTTTTACGCTGCGCTCGCTTAGGGGAAACAGGGGTTGAGTTTAATAGAGGCAGATTGCAACAGCGCCTGTGGGTCTCCAAATATCTTAACAGACGATAATTGGAACAACGATTTTTGTGATACAATTAGAATGGTGCTTTAACGAAGCTCGAATGTTTCGTGTTTGATCGGCGCAAGAAGAACCGAGATCTTTTAAAAAACGTACCCGTTGAGCCCAACTTAATTGCGCGGGCTCTCGTTGGTCGTTATTTCGTTATTAGCTTCTCCGGTAAGCACAAGTAACCGCATCTGCCGCGAGGTTTGTGAAATCCGTTCAGAAAAACGAAGAGACTGGAGGACGGAGAAGAGACAGAGGGAAGTCTCGGCAGTAAACGGAGTAATCATTTTATCCTACATTAAGGGAAGCGCTTGAAACTGTCGTATAATTTTCCCGGGGCACGCGTCGCGCTATTTATGCGCGTGACTCGAGTTTTTTTCCCGGGGCCGTTTTACCGTTTTTCGTGCACGCGTAATTTTCGAGTGCCACTTGCCCGATAGCCTACGCGTGCCTCGCGCGTCAAATTTATATTTTACGATCCATCGAGGAGGGGATTGATTTGTTTGTACACTATGGAATAACGTTCTCGTCGAGTGGCGTGATCGAAGCGGCGGGTGTCTAGTGTCTGTTGCGATTTAACCGTGCAATTTGTAAAATCGCAACGATCGGAACGAGGCACGAATTTATTAGGAGCCAGACGAAAACTCTGAACGGTTACCGACACTATAAAACTTTGATTTTCTATCAACATTTTATTCAATACCGTTTGCAGTAAGTTAAGCCGCAGATCTGCTATTTCCGTTCCACGCGAAAGGCCGACAAAGGAAGGAAAATCGGTGAGAAACGGGAATCGACGACCGATAAACAAAGAAGGGATGAAATATTTATCGAGCCGGGCGCACACAGCCGGAGGAGCGCGAAATATTTCGAATATGTTTTACAACGAGGACGCGAAACAAAACGGCGTTTCTCGTATTTCGTTCGACGAAATTCTAATTTCGCGCGGAGGGATATTTTACGCCCGGAACTTTTTTTGCCTTCGGTATCGAGAACTATTGCGATCGAGCGGCACATTGTTGTTCTCTCGCCGGTGCCGGGTAGCGCGTCTATTATTATTATCGTTTCTCCGCGCGTTTCGGCCCATAAACAACTCCGGCGTCGTTGCACAATGGCCTGGAACAATGCCCGCGACTGATTGATCCTTAACTTTTAAAGTGACTGGCACACGTTTGGTATCGACCGGCTCGCGATCGCGATCGACGGAGAACCTGCGCCGATCCCTGCGACTTATCCCGTTACGCGTTTCAATCTACGTATCGTTGGAACTCGTGTCAATGAACACGCTTATCGAATCGCGCCATTGTCGCGGATCGTTCGTAGGCGCCACAATGAACACTTACCGTGTTAAACGTCTCCGTCGTTCTGATCCAAGGTTATTCTCGCGATGAAAAATCACGAGTTCACCGGAGATCAAACGAAAGTAATTTGTTAGTAAACGTTCACGCTCTAATATTTCTACGCAAAGTAAGTGTCAACTACAGCAGGAAGTGGTCGAGCACTTGTGAGCACTGTTCCTGAATACTTATACGTCAACTCGTCAAATCGTCACGATATCCAAATAAATTTTTAAAGAGCAGTTACTGTACCACAAGCAATATTCACGAAACAAGCACAATACCGATTCCCGTAATCGGACGCAGATCGTTTCAACGACCCTACAGGCCCCCATTAACAGTCCTCGTACTGTCGGTATTTGTTAACGCCTGGTATCTAATCGCCAAGTTAAACACGGGCCGAGCAAACGAAGGATCGTACAACGGACCGTCTAAAATTCTCGTTACCAGGTTTTTCTCGAGCCTGGTACGGTTGGGTCCCGGGCTTGTCAGAACTTTTATCTGAGGTTGCATCAACCAGCAGGAAAACAGCGAGCCCCGAAGGATCCCATGGTGCAGTCTCCGGACGAAGACAATGGGCGAGCCCCTGGAAAGGATCCGGAAGACGGCAGTGAGGGGGGAGAGAAAAAACAATAACACGATCAGGTTCACCGCGGTTTCGGATAATTGCGACGGAGAGCTCGAAAAGGTGCCGACCGGCCGAGGATCGGGCACGCTTGTCAGGAAGCATTAGGATATCTATCGCGAGTACCGATATCCTGCGATCCCGAGGACTCGTTAGGAGGACTTAGGATTGTTTCTTCGTAATCCAATAAGGATGAAATTCTTGGGGAGACCGGCTCCGGACGGATTGTCTTTCAAGGTTCCGAACTTTTCCGAGTCCTCGAGCATGGACAGATGGTCGAGGCTTATTACCATCTTCAACGTTGGTCATTTTTGGTCAATTCACGGATAAAAAATTCGGCCGAGTGGTTGATATGGTTTTATGCATGAGGGTGGGTGAAAGGCAATTATATTTACGCGATCGTAAGGTAGAACGTCCACATCCTCGTCAAGCCCACTCCGAGCCAGCTCGAGCGCTCGAATCGACGTCTGGGACGCCTTTTTTTCCGCAAACTTCCGAAGATCATTACGAAAGCCGCGGAGGGCGCGCGAGACTCGTAAACACGGCTCGTAAAAATCGCCAAAATACAGGCACCTTACATGGTAGCGTCGCGTAGGCGGGTGTCATATCCCTGTAAAATCATTGCCACTAAAAATCAGAGGTTTCCGCTGGAAATTTACAACGGTCATATTCGCGGCGTGTGTGACGCGAGTCGGCGAGATCCGCGGCGGGGCGTTGAATATTTTCAAGCATGGACGGGCAAGGGGGGGCTCTTGGCCAGGGCCCTTCTTTTCATCGGAAACGAGTTTCGATACGCGGAAGATCATATTTTTTCCTTATTTGCATTCTGGTCGCCGATAAACGGCCACGAGGCTCTCGCGGCGAGAGGCTACCTCGTCGTTAGCCGCTCGCGCGCAATTTATTTCGTCACGTTTCGTTTACCTCCACGTGGGCAGAAAAATACTACTGGATATACCTACGGGGCCCCGATAGAAACCATGCATAAACTCGGAGGCGTTACGCGTATGGCCAGCTGACGTACGAGATCGCATACATATTTAGAACGCAACGGATAGTGATTCCTTCGACGCTACCGGCGATCCGGGGAATCCTCGTCACGATCCACGGCGTTCAATTTACCAATCTTGGCACTTATTATAGCCACATATGCGTGGACAAAGATACTCGATCTAAT